TTTTATTAGAATAATACAAAAACAAAACTATATTTGCTTTTTAATATTAATCTTTTAGCTCCCGGCGACGTAAAGATACGTCTGAGTGCATTTATTAGATGAATATATCAGTAGTAGATTTTTAATAATAAATGTATCTCAATTAGAAGGAACATAATCGAAATAGTTTGTTATTAAATGAATATATGATAAACAAAAAGCATTTTAGTAATAAGAAGACAATCATGTATACAAAATGTCAAGTGGTAAAATACTTTGCGTACACTTCTTATTTTGAATATTGATCTACAGCTCTTAGATAAGTCTAAAAGAAAAAGCTTTGTCTTTTTTTTGTATTATTATTGATTATTTATTGAATAGCCTATAAAGACATTTGTTTTTGAAAAAGAAGAATATATAAATAAATTCTTTTCATTGTTGTCTATTCTCTTTCAACATATAGAAAATAACATATATATTTTCATTAGAAAATAGCATGCACTTATATTTAACAATATGATATAATATTTAAAAGATATATTCTAATCATCTTTGTTGATGTTAGTGAATAATACTTTTAATATAAAAATCCTTTGAGAATATTTTTATAACTGTTCTATTGTTAATTAAAATTCTATACATACCGATAATAATCAATACTCGAATTAATTTTGTTAATGTCCATGTTGATGGCATTGATTCTGAAATACTTGTTAATGAATTATTATTTTCATTTGGTGTTGTTGGTAATGATTTTATTATTGATATTGTATTTAAAGAAATTGTTTCTAATGCATGTAATAATGATTGAATTAAATTTTCTTGTGTATATTGAATAAAATAGGATGATGAATCAAATGGATCATTTGTTACCGCTAATGATGTTGTTGATGAATGTATTTCATTTGTCTGTTGTTGTTGTTGTTGACTTGTATTATCAGTCGGAGTTTGTTCAGTACCAAGAAACCATGCATATATACGTCGATTTAATGACATATCACGTTTTAATAATATATGTAATGAAACAGTTATAATTTTCATCATATCAATTTTTGTTAATTGTTTATTATGCATTGGTAAACAAACAAGAAGAAAATCAAGTATGGAACGTTGTACTAATGGTTGTTCACGATCTTGAAGACATGTACATACAGCAGATACCTTTAAAGAAAACAAAAGAGACCGATTTGAATTCAAATTATTTATTTCTTTACCATTGTTTCAACAGATGAACCCATTAGATAAAGTTGATCTTCCATACTTTTTCTTTTATCAAAATGATTCAATGTAAATGTTAATGCTGAATGACGTGCGGCTGCAACTAAATGTATAGCTGACCATATACAAGTATAAAAATAAAATTTATCAATTCGATTTGAAAGATTATCAAGTAATGCATGTATTCTATCATAATAATCTGCACCTTCTTCTAATGCAGGAAATAATCCAAGAAAAAAACCTGTTAATATTGGATTCAATGCTTCACCTAATGGTAGAAAATATGTTTCATATAATGTTAATAGAACAGGTTTAACAGGTAATGCTGCTGCTGGTAATAATGGAAATAATCCACATGAATATAGGATGATATCTCGTTGTAAATTACGTTTACCAATCATTCGAAATATTGTTTCATAGACTTCAAGAGTTTTTAAATGGACACCAGATGGTAATGCTGGATGAAGACATTGTGCAAGACGTTTGGATAGAGTTATACGTTTTGGTATTGATTGAAATTTTGGATAACTTTCAATGGCCTTAGAGAGAAAAGAAGAAGAATTTTTTTATTTGAACATAAGAGAAAAATAATAAATTTTCCTTACTTTTTTAACTTTGACTAGATTTGTTATCAGATCAGCCCATTCCGATGAATATTCAAATTGTTTAAGAACTTTTTCTAATGTTGCAATAAAACTTTTATATCGACCATCATTTAATAAAGCTACTTCGTCACTGGGCATTAAACTCATCTTTTATATTTTCTTTTCCAAATAATTTCTTCGTTTAAAATCTATCTAAATAATATATGTATGTATATATATATACTTTTTTAGAATTTTAATTATCACGTGTACTAATGAATCAATATTAGCGTCTGATAATGTAAACGAGTGCATACGCTTAGACATTTCATTTGCGATAAAGATAGGAGACTCGCGAATCGAACGATCGATGTGGATATAATAATGAATCATTTGTTGTTTAGAATATTCTATTGGTAAAATATTTTAACCAATCAATATTCAACATTAAACGTCACGTATATATCACGTTGATTTGACTCATTTTTTTCTGACATATAAAGATAAATAATTCTTTACTTTTTTTTTTCTTCTCTCAACTATTAAAATTCTCTTACTAATAAATTAAGCAAACAATGGTTATTACAGCAGTTCCGCCAATATGGTTTGTATTTTAATTGTCTTTGAAACAAAAGAAAAAAATATTTATTTATATAGGACTGATCGAGATTCTTGTTTTCGTTGTCGAACATCATTTACAGCATTCACACGTAAACATCATTGCCGTGCATGTGGGGAAACATTCTGCTCAAGCTGTTCGTATTTTTTAAACTATTTTTCGTAAAGATATGTATACGTATCTTAATAGGTTCATCAAAATCAAGTCCTTTACTTGAATTTGGTATTGAAGATGAAGTTCGTGTTTGTGAATCATGTTACGAACGTGTAACAACGTAATTTTTAATTAACAAAAACAAAATATTTATCTTTATTTTGTTTGTTTATTCTATTTAAAGAACGGGTAGTATACTTCCGCCAACAGCGGCAGCAGCACCAACAACACTGACAACAACTAAATCAAATGAAAAAAGTCAGGCTGAAATTGATGAAGAAGATGCACTTCAATTAGCAATATCTTTATCACAAAGTGAAGCTGATGAAAAAGAACGACAAAAAAAGTTACTTACTCAACAGTATGCATTGTCAAATATACAATCTCCTCCAACACCACTTAGCTCAGCGCCTATTGCGGATCAGGTATAAGAAATTGTCTTTATTCTAGAATAAACATTCGCGTATACCAAGGTTAAAATTTATTTAGACCATATGTTTGTCTAATAATAAAGGTCATAATTTCTCCTAACCTTTGTTTTTATTTTTATATAATAGAATGATAACGAACAAAAAACTGTCAGTGGTAATGGTGAATTAGCCAAATATTTAGATCGAAATTATTGGGAAGAACAAACAAACAAAACTCTTGGACCAACGACAACAACAACAACTCCTAATAAAGTAGATTTCCATTTGTTGAGCTAAACAAAATTAAAATAAATTATATCTAATATAGGATCCATTAGATAAATATGTTCGCGATGATGAAATCGATATATTTATTAATTCTGTTAATGAACATATAAATAATATTAAATTTCGTATGTTAAGTAATCAACAACGTGGTCGAAATATTGCTAATGATACAGCTGTACAATCAGTATTTTTTATTCTTCAACATATGTATCCTGAATTACATCGATTTATTAAATCACTTGATGATAAACAAGGTTTATTATTGATTTCATAAAAAATTAAATTAAATTAAATTATAAAATTTATTTTAGCTTATTATGAAAGTTTACAAGATAAATTATGTCAATTAAAAGATGCACGAGAAGCTTTGAATGCATTACGTGATGAACATGTTGAGAATAAAAAACGGCAAGCACTTGAACGTGAAAGACAACGTCAAATACAATTAGCTGTTAAACTTGATGATATGCGTCAAAAGAAACAAGTACAAAAACAAAAGATAAATAGTTTTTTTTATCTATATATTTAATTTTATAAGGCATATTTGGAATATCACCGACAAATCCATTTACAACGTCTTGCTGAACAAGAAGCTGAAATGCAAGCTCGACTTGATCAACAACGACGTTATGCTCAACAACGTGAACAACAAAACCAAGTTGATTATCGAATTAATCAAGTAAAAAAAAAAGATTTTTTTTTTATATTCATTTTATTTCATTCCTTCTCATTTAGATTCCATATGTGCAACCACCCTTATCATCTGTCGATTATTATCATCATCCTCAACAACAACAACAACAGCAACATCCTGTTTATCCATCTCAATTACCCGCACATTCATTTTCAATGGGACGTAAGTATAGATGAAAATGTCAAAGAATCTTTTTTTTTTGTTCTTCTCGATTGAATAACATTGACCTACTCTATTTTATTCAATATAGAATTGTCAGATGCTTTACCTCAACAATTTGTACAACCATTATCTCAAAATCAACAAATTTATTCTGCTCATCCTTCGATACAATCAAATGAACAAACATTAATCTCATTTGATTAACGAGAATATTATAAATAAACATTTTATTTCCTTTTTGTGCAATGTCGATTCTCATTTCTTTTTTCATGCTTTTTAATGTCTAATAATACACACAGTGAAGTATCTTATGTGTGGATTTATTCATGTAAATTTTCTTCTTTACAAATATATATGACAAATATAAATTGATTATAAAAAAGCAAAATTCTATAATGAGATTAAATATATGGTCTTAAAGATAATAAAAATTCGATTAGCTCTATTAAATCTGAAACTTAGATAATTATAATAATTTAAATTCCTATTCTATTCAAAAAATGACACCTTTTCTTTTCTTACCGGATATTTTTCTTATTTGTAATGTTAGTCATTTTTATCTCGAAAATTTATACAGATGATCATTAATCATAGTATTACGAAGTTAAGCATAGATAAAACATTGTTTTTGTCTTGTTTATCTACGGATAATTTAATGTAATACATACATATTTGAATTCTATTCAGCTTTTACAAATATTATTTTTAGTATTTCCTGTTTCTTTGTTTAATTCTATGCATAACGAACAATTCTATACTCAGATAGATAATTATAATGTCATGTTTTCTTTTTTCTTTCAGTTATTTTTGTATGGTGTTAAAAATACTTTTCTATTTATAAATTCTTTTGATTTTACTCTGTATGTTCTTCTGAGAATTCTATATATAATTGATCGTCTATAACTATTACCTTAGAATTTCAGTTTCATATCTATATATGATAAAGTTAATGTTTTTTTTATAGAATAATATTATTAGTACGTGAGAATATTTAATAGATAGGAATCTAGGTAAATTCATTTGATGTTGAATCGTGTTTTGAATAATTAATTAAAAATATTTATTTATGAAATATCGACCATATGGATATATTTAGAAATATTCTTCTACTTTGTTATTTAAAATTAATTAAGAATAATCTTTGAGATGATGATATTATTAAATTTAGATATACGAGACAACTGGTGTTTGTTTTGTGATTTGATTTGATATAAACTCAGTTCTTGGAAACTAGAGTTTTTCCTTTAATATCTGGATACATTGATTTCCAACAGAAAAAAAAATGAAGTTAAACGGTGCACATTTGAGAAAGTTGTTTTTGTTCTTAGTTTAGGCCTGGTAGAAACAAAGAAGACATATTTTACATATTATAATCAATATCTAACGAAACTATGGCTTCCCTAGATATGATATTAACTATAATATTTATGAAGAATTTCAATAATGATCTGTCTTTTCTTATTTTAATTATTTATAGATAGAAATATCGACCTCGAATATACATCATTCGCTTTTTTCGATTTAATTAAAACAAAAAGTTATGAAACGCCATTCTCTTTCAACAAATATAATACAGCTAAAAATAGCATTGATTCAAGGTTCTTTTAGTAATAAACATTGGAACATTTTCTTGTCGATTATGAAATAATGTGTCATTATTAGAATCAGAAAAGTTTATTTATTTTTGACGAAGTCTAAATTTCTCTATAATTAACATTTGAATAGTTTCACGCCGTATTCTACATACAAACTTGACTCATGTACCATTTAAATATTCCCACATTTTAATCAAATTAAATACTATATGTAATACGAAAAAACAATCCCAAACATCAAGAAGCCTTTTATCACACTACGGATTTATTTCTTCATTTTGAAACTGACAAAATACACATAACAAGAATATTGAATTATGGTTTTCAGAGACTGTATGTTTGTCAATTCTAAGAAATACTAATTACTTAAATCTGAATAATATTTTTTAAAACCATGCAGACTGAATTCGATGAATAGCTGTATAAGTATTTAAAAGTTTTTGTCGAAAGACATTTCGTCGACGAGAGATAATTGAGAGTGTGAGTGTGCTCTTAAATGAGGGAAGAGGTGAATTTTGACACCCACAGCTACTCTTAAGTTTCTTGATATGACTAATTTTTCGATGATTTGTTTTCGACAAAATGTTTATTCGACGAAATGATAAGCCGACGAAGCAGTTTGTCGATGAAATGTTTTGACTATAAAAATTTTTCGACGAGAAAATGTTCGATAAGAAATATAAGTACCTACTTTTTCGAAGTATATTACAAACATTTGTCAACAGTTATAAAGGCAATGTAACTGGCTTAAATTTTTCTTTTATATCAATAATCTTACATCATTATTTTGAAACCATAAAGTCTGGAAGAAGTGAAAAAAATGTGTCTCATAAGTAGATTTTGACTGCTATTAAAAATACTGATACATTGACAGTGGCATCATCTGTTAAATCCAAACATTTTATTCGATAAGTTCAGATATGATTCAAAAAACAGTAACTCGTATATATGTATGAGTATATATCACATTTTTCATATTTTCAAAAACTCAGATGAGCGACATCTCAATACATATTGATATTGATTGGTTGTTTGACTTGTATTTCGTTGATTAATTCTCTCCATAGATTATCATATTGACAGTTTTACTTGCTTTACTTTTAATAAATTCCACTTCCTGACGATACCATGTCTGCGATTCCAACAAATGAATTCATTCCGGATGAGTAAGATTAACTATATATAAAGAAATTTATTGTATTATCGAATATGTATTATTTTTAATTTTAGAATTCGACAGAATATTTCAGTACAAGGTCTTAAACGAAAATTTATTACTTCTTCTCAAGTAAAACCAGAGGATTGCACAATTAATGTATTGCAATGGAATATTCTTGCGCAAGGTATTTATTTTTAAGATAAAAATTCATATGATTTATTCATTTTTTTTGAAGCATTATCTTATCCCGAAGGTAACTTTGTTCGAGTTAAAAATGAAGTAGTTAAATATGAAACTCGTAAATGGCGAATACTGGAACAAATACTTATTTATCAACCGGATTTAATTTCATTAGAAGAAGTCGACATCTATGATTGTTTTCTTAAAGAACAATTATCAAAATATGGGTAAATAAAATAACTAAAAAATAGATAATAACTATATCTTTCTTTCTTATTTTAAGATATGTTTGTTTTTTTACACCAAAGCCAAATTCGAAATGTCTCTCATTTGCCGGCGACAGCGAGAACTTCAAAGGTCCTGACGGAGTTCTACTTTGTTATAAACAAAATCTATTTAAAGAGGTTAATCGAAGTAATGCTGATTTACCGAATGATGGTCGATTTGGACGACAAGTATATATTCAATTTTATTTCTTCTATATAAAAACAAAGCTTTTTTTTTCTGTTTAGGTATTTTCTATTCTTGAATTAGAATATATACCTTTATCATCCCCGATAGTATTTATGGGTACACATTTTAAAGCTAAAAAACAGTTTGAATCATCTCGTACAGGCCAGGCTAATGCCATGGTAAACTATTGTGAGCGAAAATATTCGAAAGATACAAATATTATTATCGCTGGAGATTTTAATGGTGAACCCGATGAACCTTGTTATAATGTACTAGTCAAATATGGTTTAAGTAGTGCATATTCTACATTAATGAATAATCATGAACCACCGTTTACAACTTGGAAATTTAAATCACGAGAGTCAAAGAATGAGAAAGAAGAGAGTCGAACAATTGATTATATTTTTTATCGACCTAAATATTTGACTCCTATTGCGTACTTAGACATTCCGGCTAAAAGAGATATTGGTCCTGATGGTCTTCCATCGGCTAATTATCCTTCCGATCATTTAGCGCTTCAATCAATATTCCTTATTCGAAAATAATTTTAAATTTTAATACTCATTTGTATACAGAGTGCCTTTAATTTTAAAATCACTGTACAAATGTATGAAAGAACATTATTCGTCAAAATTACTTTAAAAATATTTTTTTATTCTTAACCCCGAAGAGAAAAGTTTTATTTTTTTATTCTTAAAAATCCAATTTATTAATATTGTAAAGCAGAGATCGGCGGGACAACGCTTTTTCCGTCCCGGTCCATCCCGCGTTGATAACGAACTATCCCGTATCATCCTGCCTCCCGTCACGAAAATCTAATTGGAAAGAAGTTCAGTTCATAGAAAAATAACCGTTCAATAATATTGATCCCCAAACAATTCTGTATAAAGCTTTGTCTCGTTTCGCCCCGCAGTCAGTGGCGGATCTAGCCATTTGGCGGTCAGACCCCGAAAGTGATCATCGAATATTTGAATTACGATATAATTCCAATATTGCGTGATTAGTATGGGGGTCTTACCGTGATCGCTGGATCCGTCGCTGCCCGCAGTCATTGCCCTCTGTCCCATCCCATCCCGCGTATTTGGTATATTCATCCGGTCCCATCGCGTAGTCCAGCCGATCTCTGTTGCAGAGTAAATAGTACCTGCAGTAATAACATCAACGCTAAATTTTTTTTCATATTAGACTCGGTGTACATCATGATTTGTCATGAATTAGTCCTTTGAAATATTTTTAATGACAGATGACTTATAAAGTATGTTCATAAATTTATTTTTTACTAATTACAAACGCTCCATTTTCATATTACATTGAGTCAAGTATGATCATTATTGGACTTATATAGTATATTGATTATCATTTTTTGAGATACTTTGTATTTATATATATATGTCGTACTTTTTTTTTGTTGTTAAGTTCGTATGTATTCTCGCATTGACATGTACATGAAACAATGCGTTTTCTTTATAAATATACACTTTGTGACAACAAACAGGAGAGAAAAGAAAAAGAAGAAAACTCAAGTACAAGATACAACAAAAACAAAAGAAAAAGAAATAAGAATTTTGTCGAATATTAATTTTGTCAAATTTTTTTTAAACGTATTATTTTAATTTTCATCACAGTAAAACAAAAAAAAAACAAAACAAAACAGAAACATACAATTGGAATAATATATTCGCTTGGAAGCGATCTGAGAAAAGAAAGCAGGAACAAAATACAAGAACAACAATACACGAGAGAGAGAGAGAGAAAAAAAAGGAAAATGTTAGATGCACATCACCGGTTAAATGTAACAGAGTTTTACGAGATCTATCCTCGATTTTATTTTTTTTTTCAAATTTTATTTCTATTCTTTGTTGATATAAATAAATGTATCGAAGAAACCAATGTTAACCAAATTTTGTCAATCTCTCATTTCATTCTGAAGTTTGGAAATCGATTTATATAATTGATTTTATTTCGAAAAAATATCTTACGCATCGTGTTCATATTGTTTGGACATGTATTATAATCAATTATATGAATATAACGATTTTTTTCACATTGTCCACGTAATAAAGCACAATAATTTTTATATAAATGTCCATCATCACCACATGTTTGAATATTCTGACTGCATTCACCACTATGAGCAAAAAATCGTGGAGGATATTGACAACGAATGCAAACCGGGAGAGATTGAAGAGAATATACACAACGTTCATTTGATTGACATAAATTTGCTCGACATTTACTCTCTATTTTATTACAAAAAGAAAAAAGAATAAGATAAATAAATAAAAATTAATTTTCAAACTTCTTACCACAAGGACCTTTATGAGCCAATTCAGGCGTTCGACCTTCAGCATCTGGACTAAGACGCATCGAACATATATTGTCATAAGTAATACCATTAGTACCACAAACTGGTTCAGGATCGTTCGTTGGATTACAATGTTTTTTTGGATAACAGAAAGGTTCACCAGTATTTTTAACTAATAAGCAAACTGTTTCACGTGGACATTTTACATTTCGACAATCCTCTATTAGAAAAAAAAACACAATGAAAATTTTAATTTCAGTTTTATTTCTTACTTTGACATTCTCCATCATATTTTTTATACAATCCAGATTGTTGTTTCATACATTTCCAAGCTTCCATTAAACACTGAGAACTGAATGTCATATTATTCGATGCACATAATGGTTGTTGATTATATTTTGATGATGAAGAATCAGTTGAAAAACATGATTCTTCACTACATACACACATTTCTTCGCCATCGATCACTTGACACTCTTGACCAAGACCACAGTCGACATTACATCGTTTTGGTGTATCTATTATATAAAATATTTACTATCAGGCATGTTCTAATTATGTGTTCTAACTTACTATTTACTTCCCGACAATTTTCTGCATATGCATATCCATCAAGTTGTTTAAGAGTATCATCCGAATAATATAGACCTGAACATTGTTCTTCATTAACATCTGGTTCACTTAGATCATAACACATATCATTAATTCGATGATTAAAACAATTGCCAGCTAAACAACAGAAAAGAAAAACACATTATAATTACTTATATTTTGACCGTTAAAATATGAGTCAACCGTTGGATGACCTGTGCGTATGCGTATGTATGTCAACATTCTGGAAACAGGAAGAAATAGGTGCCCTGTTCTGTTTATTCATTCACATCTATTATTTCTTTTTATTCCAATCAGTAAGATATCGTTCTCATGTCTCCCACTTGATCTCATTTCCTCACGTTGCGCGCATTGTGTCCTTGACCGACTATATTCGTCCTCCCTTCATTGTACATTTAGTGACACATGTACATACTTATATACGTGTCATTCAATGGTCTTAAATATCATCAATCTATATGGATCTGCTGCATATCAATACGGATGAAAGATGAAAGGGGAGTTAAATAAATGAACATGACTCATTTCTCCTCAAACTAAAATCTTTTTAAATTTAAGCAAAAAAAAAAGTTCTGTTTTTTTTTATTTGTTTAAAGAAATTGAACAAAAACAAAAACTATTGTATACAATCATAATCATATAAATATACCTTGTGTAATGATAATACATTGATTAAAGAGTATCAGCAATGTGAAAATTGTAAAACATACGTCAGATATTGATGAAGACGTCATTATAATTAAATGAATTGATAGATATTATAAAATAAAATATTTTATTTCTCGAATGAATATTACAGATAATATATGGGATGTGCTCAAAAAGAATAATTTGTGCGTAAAACAGAGAGAGAGAAGGTATAAATAAATCAAAAATTGAGAAGAGAAAGAGAAGAGAGCATTAGAAAGTAAGATAGGGAGAAAAAGAGAGAGAGGTAGAGAGAGAGAGAGAAGCGGGAAAAGAGAGAGAGAAAAGGGGACACAGTATAATAGTGAACAGTAGAGACCGGATTATAATATATATATATATGAACATATAAAGAAAGCGATAAAATCTCTGATACAGAATAAAACAATATATAAAATTTGCTTATTAAATCGTATAAATGAAATAGTTAGTATCAACTGTATAGATCTTTTTTGCTTTCATTAGACATAATTGTTCTATTTTAAAAATTTCTTATAATAAAAAAGACAGACGAGACTTTTTTTTCCAAAAATATAAAAATTAGATTTTTCTCCGATTTCTATTCCGGTGAGCTCCCCCTACAACTCTCTCACCGACCGATATAAATGAGATCTGTGTGGGCGAAAATAAGTGTATTTCAATAGGTATTATTTCCGTTGTTAGGAAATTATAACATGATTCGTATAACTTCATCTTTTTTTTCTTCTTTATTTAGAAAGTTTTTCTGTGCAATAATAATATATATCGTAGGCGTCAGTGATATTCGATCAATCGAGTTTTTACTTTTTTTTTTCTTGCGTATATGGGTTAGGTATGAATATGAATGAAAGGTGTGTAACAAGCAGCTGTCCGGTTGCAAAATCATGTTTTTCGATCATATGGTCATTTTGAATCGTATGCGCTTCACATGTCTCTCGCCTTTTCGATGATATTATGTAAGATAAATGTAAAGAATAAGCGTCATCACCGTAAGAGACCAGTGATGATAATGGTGACGAAAGTGAGTTGTGTTATATTACAATTGAGACAGCGAGGGATGATGTCCGGAAGGTAACGCACTTCCGGTTTAAAAAATCATATTTCATTTTGTCTATCTGATCTAGTTGCATTCGTTTACATAAAAAGAAAAAGAAATTATACTGTCTACAATCAAAATCATTATATAAATGATAACGAGAAAAATAAGATATAGAGTACTAAAATTTCTTCATTTTCTTTTTTTTATTCTAATTTAAAAATATTTCGATAAAGTCGATTATAAAAGTATTTTTTCTATTACAATAAAGCAAAAAAATATGTTTTGTTATTATAATCTTGAGTTGTTCTTGTTGTTACTCTTGTCAACACTTTTACGGTCATTGCTTGTCATATAATCTTTGATGGAGACGTCCTTGGCTAGGACGAATATAAATATAGAAATAATAAATATATACATAAAGAAATTCTTTTAACAAGAAAAAAAAATTTGTTTTGACTCATAACTAGCATACATAACACGAAAAAAAACTGTTAGTTTTATTCAATGTCAATCGTTATTGACTAAATAGGTAATTTCTTCATGTTAACAAGTTATTTCTTTATAACTTGTTAGTTCTGTAAATAAAATTAACTTTTCTACTTTCTATTTTGATGATCTGTCTGAAAAATATTAATGATGACGTCAATGAAACATCTAATTTCTAATTAATATGAATTAGTGTATGCTGTCATCAACAACATCAGCTTATGTTTTACTAAAACGTGGCTTTGTCGCATTTCCTTTTTATTATTTTTATCGTTACTAAATTTTTCTTCTTTCTCATTTATTTGTTTGAACCAACTTTTTATAAAATTTAAAATTTAAAGTTACACTGATATATTACATAAGCGTATTTTGATAATAGAAAATTTTTCTCTAATCTGTTTCAGACTAGAAAAAATAATTATAATAATATTTATCAAAAAAAAAACATTTTTTTTCTCTCTCTTTATTTTCAAATATATTTCTCAAATTTTTATCATTCATTTGTGCATTATGTTGATGTTTAGTATAAATGATGCAATAATCTTTTGCTATGCAATTTGAACCATTTCTATGACCTCGAAACAAGCAATGCAAAGAGTGATCGATGTAAATGAATAGAGAATGATGAGGATCAAAGTTCAAGGTAAAATGATCAAAAGCATGAACAAAAAAGAATGTGAATAATCGATTTACATCCAAGGCTCAACTATTATGTTCATCTATACAAAATAGTGATTCACACATCTGTATGTTTTATCAGAGACCTTTATATACATACATACATGTTTCTGACATAGTTTTAAGCCACTTAAATAAGCATATTTTATATTAATAAAATTTTATATTTATAGACATCGTAATTTGCTCTGAATAATCTCGAATGACGTCAACAATAAATTAATTCAGTTAAAAATAAATTGTTAATTAAATGTAAAAAACCACATTAGTTAATTATTAGTAATAGATCAAATAAAGAATTTGAGCAACACGCAACTAATTGAAATGAATTTATCTTATTAACAATTATTACTAATATCCTTATTGAATAATACACAAAAGAAAAAATCAAAATAGTCAGATCAAATAAAAATTGGGACATTTGGTACTTCTTCTTTTTTTTGTCAAACTATGTTCAATATAAAAATGAACTTTCAGTTTTTATATAATATTCTACTTAATTATTTATATATTCATTAGTATAATATATATATACGACAGCTCATTACTCTCGTTTTATTAGTAATTTTATCCTACATTACGAAATGACGTCAAACAATAGAAATTAAATATACGCACGTCATCGTTTTTGAGCCAAAAAAACTATTCTACTTCGAATAAGCAGGAAAAAAATTATAATTTATTATTCAGTTAAATGAGTTGATATTGAATTAGAAAATTTTCTTTGCCGTAAATTAAATCAAAAGAACAGGAAATGTAAAAGTAAAAGAATAAGTTATTAAAAATACATTCTCAAGAATACAAAATCAAAAGTCTATTTCATAAATATTGGCAACAACAACAAAAAAAAATCATTTACATTATTTCTCTGCGTCATAATTATTTATAACTATCATGTAATAAGCTTTAATATTTTGCCATTGACAATGTCTTTAAAAGTACTCTGTGAACGAACGGGTACACAATTTGACAGATTCAAAAAAAGATTGTGCATTATTGTATTTGAAGTATCATATATCTTTTTTGTTAGATATTTCATTTATATATAATTGAAACTTCAATAAATTATCTTTGTGACAACATATGGCATTTGTCCTTAGATACTTAGATTTGTTGGTGAATTTCAATGTATTATTCATAACTACGCACATATTTTTCTGCTTTAATTGTTTTGAAATTACTAAGTAATTTTCTTTTCAAGCATGAACTTAGGAAAATAGACTATTCAGACGATAACATTAAGCTGAATGTTGATGATTTTATAGTCATTACGTCAACTTAAGTAGACAACCTACGTCATCGTTGTGCAATTAACTTCAGTGGTGAAGTGACACATATTAAATCCGATTAAAAGGGAAATCTCAAAAGACTGATTTTCTAGTTTATATACTTTTAATACTTTTATAATGACTTTTTTTGGGTTTAAAATAAATATAGAATTATTCAATTGATTGTTAGAACTTTGAAAATTATTATTAATATCAAAGATTTTTATATTATGATAATGAAAAAAAGTCGTAAAACTTTGAATAAATTACTCTTTAAAATTTAAATTAGATTAAAAGAGACATAATTCAAGAACATCATCAATAGAAAACATATTCGAACATCTTTTTCTTCAATTACATATAAAATGAATTCATCTCTGCAAAACATGTTATACAGATCGATCAATATTATTTCGATAAAAGGTTTCTCTTTGTGTCTTAGATGATGAAGTCTAGCAACTATGGTTTAAAATACAATTAAAATCATTATTTTCTCATAATCTAATAATGAGTAAATAACACTGTTACTGTATATGAACGATATGTATTATGTTTACATAATTAACAATGTAATTCATAAGTAGATCGATGTTCTCAAAAGAGGTTTGACACAAGAAATATGAGATAAAAGTAATAGAATATTCCTTAATATAGAATCGTCCTATTCGAACGAAAATTAAATATTAATGTAAAACAAAACATGTAATAGGATCTTAAAGCAGGTTGAAATTATTATATAAGAATAGATATGTGTAGAGTAAAAATAAAATAAAGCAATTAAATTCTACTCTATAGTAGAAATTAGCCTTACAATAAGCCAAATGAAGAGTAACGCTATGTAAAAAAATGATTTATTATCTTTCTATTTACGAAGATAATGTAATTAATTCTTTGACGACTGAGTATCATCTTCGATACTTAATAAGAAACTTCTTTATAATAAATAAAGAAGATGTAGTTTAATATAATATGACTTTATTTACATGAAATTTTATACAAAGTAAATGACATTCGATGGTGTAACCTTATTTTTGCAAAATAGAATCGATACGACATAATATAATATCTTATCTAATAACCTTTTTTTTCTTAACACAATTTTATTTATAGTACTCATCAATAATTCAAATATTGGGTACATGTTAATCTGGATATTCTTTAGTAGAAACTATACATGTATCTATTAGGAATTAATTCAACGATATTGAGGAAACTAAAAAAGTTCATAGAATATCCATTGATATAAATTGAAAATAAACATGTTTAATTAGATTTTAATACTGACTTATTTGATTAATTTCATTAAAAGTAAAAGAATTCGAATGTATCAAACAGATGCGGGACAAATCTTAGAATCAGACGAAACTAAAAACTAAAGACTGATGTTATATGATAATCGGATGAAAATAAACCGTTTTCAACAAACAAAAATTAAATGTAACATGACTTGTGCATTATCTTTGACTCTTTCATTTGAATAGGTAAATTGACATATGTTATTGAGTTCAGTTTCATAGAAATATTTGCGTATTATCACTGTGTTTCGAGATACTTCTTCGGTAGATTCTATAATAACAAAATCTTTGGTCTTAAAATTAATTCTAATTAACAGATTTGTATCAACAACTAATCAGATCTCTTATGAAAATAATGAATAATAAATCCCTATCTTCTTATATAGTTTTTTTTATAAAGATTATCTGGTTATCTATTCAATATATTCTTAAATAGTATTATTCAGTTTGTTTCCATGAACCTTATAATTATCATTTTGCACTCAGTTTTTTCCTGATAAAAATTTTCAATACAACAATGACTCATACTGACACCCAGGTTCACCAATTCACTACTCGGATCCGATCGGATCCTATGCCGAATTCTATCGGAATCCGACGATCCGATAAAATCCGATAGGATTTCTGGTGACGGATTCATTTCGGATTCCGTCGTGTTCGGATCCCATCGGATCCAACATCGGATCTCACAATTTCCAACAAACGGATCTAGACGGATCCGACAGGTGACCATAAGGCCATCATAGAAAATAGCTAAAAACGTCGCTCATCAAATTTGCAGCAAGTGACTAAAAACTTAATGACGGAATCCAATGCAAATCCGTCGCCAGGGATCCTATCGGATGATCGGATGTTATAGGAGCAGATCGGATCCAACTTTGGATTGGTTGACCTGGGCTTGTACATATTTTGAGATTAGAAAAGAAACATTATCGTTTTTAAATATTAAAAATAAAACGACATAGTTATAAGGCTTACTATCTCTTCGCCAATAGGTCATTCGTTATCGGCGAAATCGCAATGGACACTCTTCAACTATAATAACATAAGATTAGTATAAAATGCATGTGAAAACTTGACCTAATAAGCATACTTTAGTGCGAACTCTTTAATATAGTTACCAGGAACTATTTTCATACATGTGTAATCTCATAATGATACTGGCGAATTGTCCATAAATATGTTGGCGAAAGCGCACTGAACTTTCACTCATTGGCGAAAGTGTTAGTTGGCAAAAATCTAGAATCCCGAGTTATAAACCCTAACAAAGTAATCTAGTTGGCACATATCTTTCATAAATATTTGTTCAAAGTTCCGTAAACACAATATGTCTAGACACGCAGTTTTTAATTCAACAGATTAAATATAACAAGAAATTTCAAATGTATGTATACATACAACCCATAATTTTTATTTATTAAAAAAAGAAAAAAGCGAATCGAACAAAAAACCAAAGAAAAGAAAGATTATCAAAAAACGATACACACACGCGTACATACAGAGAAATTCTAAGCACAGTGAAAATCAAGAGAGAGAAAAAAATAAATAAATAACATTCAACCCTGAGTCTAGTTTTTCATCTATCAAAATGATTGATTTTTTTCAAATCAATGAATAATAATTATCAGACATCGAAGGTTTCAATACATTTAATTATACATTTCCAATGATTTTGCTTTTATTTAATTGAAATCACCGGTGAAAAATTAATTAAAATAAAAAAAAAGTTTCTTTTTTTATTTATGTTTTCATTTTAAACATAAAATTTGTTGGATCATCAATTATTTCGGGATAAATCAATGGATCATAACGATAAACAATTGTATAATTTGTTAAATAACCATTACTTATTAATTCATCAATTTCATTTTGTGACCAAGTATATAAATAATATAAACGAGCATTTTCCATCAAATATGTTCGTTCATATTGCCAAACATTAGTTATCATTTGTGATAAATTATATTCAATAAGTCGTTGATATTCTTCATCATATGTTGAACCAAATTTAATATGAAATATTGTTGTATTACTTATAATTAAATCCATATCAATAAGATTATCTTTTGTTGTTTGATATCTTATATTGATTTTAAATTGACGTAATAATGGTTGATTGAGATAAGATTTTAATTGTTGAAAATGTGTTAAATTTTGAAGAAAATATATATCATTTTGTTTACGATATGGAATTATATATGATTGATTAAACAGTCGAGAAAATACTTCATCATAAGATGTAAATGAAAAAAATTCAATTTGATTTGAAGAATTTTTCCTTGATAATGTACGATTTATCCAAAAATCATTTTCATTTTGCATATGAGCAATTGAATATGTAAATTGATTTGGATAAGATATTGAATAATAATCATTAAAATATGAGAAAAATGATGTGTATAAGAATGAATCTTTTTCAAATATATTATTTTGATTATTAACATATGATGATGATAGTATTGAATCAAATAAATTCGAAAAATCATAATTAAGATTTTGTAATTGATTAAGTATGTCTAAAAATATATAAAGATATTTTTATAAAGGAAAACTATTTACTATTATTAGCCAGGAACCTATTTTCGCTGGTATCTTATCTAGCGAATGAGCGGCGCCCACCCGAAACCTGAATAACACACTGACGAAATTCGACAACCTCTATATTTTCAATATGCTAATATTAATTCTTCTGAATATCTATGTCGTTCTTCTTCTGTTCAATTAAAAACCACAAAGAACAATGTAGTCTATATATAGAAAGTATTTTCACTTGAATGGTTATACTATGTGTGGTTTTAATATAGAGAGTACAGTGAAGTGAGAAAATGTCTAGGGATTGAACTTGAAAGGATTTTATTATTTTAACGTTAATACATTGAATCATTAGTGAACACTCAGACATAGATAAAATGAAGCTTTTAAGTTAGGAATAAAGACATTGAGCATTAATGTTGCGAATAATAAGTTCTCTCTTGATATAATGAAATATTCGACAAAGAAAATCTTTTTAATAGTTGATTGCTTCTTTGTAGAAACCATATCATTCATTATTCTGATTCTCAATATCAAAACTTTACGATTTCAATACCCACAGTGTCTTATCCAGTGGGTGGGCGTCGCCCATCCAAAGATTCGAATCGCCCATTCGAAAAATACAGTAGCTGTATACTTCGAGATAATCCTAGTGGGCGCTGGATAAATGCCGCCCATCCGAAACCTAGATAAAATACTGATTGCTCATGTCACACTATTAGAACAATACTTCAAGGAAGGGCATACTCTTGCCTATATTTCACTTAGGAGCCCTTTCTACATTCGCAAATAAAATCTTACCATTATGAGATAATCTTTGAAAAATAATTTCATTGACATTATAAATTTCGTCATTAATTTTATATAAATTCATATCATCTAATGGATTTTTAATAGTCGGTAAATATGTTTGTTTATTCATCCATGTTAAAGGAAAATTTGGTACTAAATATCTTCCAAGATTAATATCAAATAATTTTCCATTGGTTTTTTCAAATGCGCAATTTAAATCTTCATCAATTAATAATCCAGCATAACCAAATGGAAAGAATTTTTTTTCTTGATAATTTTTTTCAATTAAACTTCTTCCATATAAACCATAAAATTTTTCTTGTATTAATAATCCATTATCATCATAAATAAACAATGGTGAACCCATTTGATCAGTTAAAATAAAAAATTTCTTTTCATTTTGTTCAAAACCAATTAAATGATTTTTATTATCATAATAAATCGTTGTTAAAAATTTCAATTGTGAATTATATATATGTGTTATTAATCGATTCTCCTGTTGATTACCATAAATAAATTGTATGTAATAACCTGTTAATGGATAAGATTTAATAATTAAACGTTGTTCATTATCATAGATATAATTAATAATCAATTGATTTGATTTATATTTAATTAATAAACCTAATGAATTAAATAAATATAATTTATTATTTGATATTAAATGTAAAAATCCATTTTTATCATATTTATAATTTAATGTTTGATTATCATTGAGAATTATTTGTTGTATTTGATTCCATTGGTTATATTGAATCGATTGATACTGTTTTGTTGAATTTAAATTATTATTTAAATCATATTGATATATATCTAATATTATTCCATTCTTTTTTATATTTATTAATCGTTTTAAAGAATCATATTCATATGTATAAGTATATTTTTCCAGTTCGTTTAATGAGATTTTGATTTGTTCTAATATAAATTGTTTATTATTATAAATAAATTCAATAATTAAACGTTTTTGATTTTTTGAATTTAAATTGATTTCTTTTAAACGTTTATATTCATCAATATGTTTCGATATAGTCAAGGAATTTGAATAATCTTTAATAAAACATTCCGAATTTGTTGGATAGGTTAAACGTATAAATGAATTTGATTGTAAATATCCGAAATTTTCATGATAATTTAATGTATAATTTGATTGAATATTTGTTGAATAATTTTCAAGAAATTTTAAATGAAATTCTTTTGAAAATATTAAACGTAATTCAAATGAATGGATAGATAAATATTTAATATAGACAATTAGATAAGAATTTTTATCTTTATACGAACTAATATAATGTTTAAGAATTGAATTATTATTGTATTCATAGATTTGTTCATGAACTTGTCCACGTGGATATTCCATACGAATTTGTTTACTTAATTTCGAATATTCATATGATGTTTTACAACCATCAGAAAATGAATAGATTAAACGATTATATTCATCATATTTATATGTTAAAAGACGATGGAATGGAAAATAAATTCGTCGAAGATTTGATTGTGAATCATATTCCCAGATTTGTGTATGTAAACCAGAATAAATTAAACGATAACCATTGAAATATGTTCGATATTCAAGAGTATGTTCAGCTTGATTTGGCATTATTATACCAGTTATACTTCCTGTTGAATCTTTACGTAACATAACATTTGATTGAGAACCGTATGTAATACCAACAGGCTAAATAAATTGAGATAATATTATATAATTCAGTTAGTTTAGCGGAGTGCACGAAAATCGGAAATGTAAGTTCTAAGTTTTCCAGCTCCCCTCTCCTGTCCTTATTACAGGCCTTAGCAACTGCCAAGAAGTTTCAATGTTAAAAAATATATTTTCTATCAAAAATACGGGAAGGTCATCTGGTGCCTCTGATACGAACGTACGTAAGTTCCACATTTTTAGCCTCAACAGGGTTGTGCTGACAAGCGTTTTGTAAATCTTATGAAAATTCTAACATGATAATAACTGGTGTCCTATAGCCGCCTCCACTATCCGAGCGAATGTACCGGTAATACTTTCTCTCTAGTAGCGAAGGGTCGCGGAGCTCTAATTTTGTCCGATTGCCTTTTTTGAAACTGTTGAAATGATTATCAAAATCTATTTAAACTTACTTGTTCTCCATGTCCATAACTATATTTAATCGACGCTAATTCATTCGATCGTTGTATTTCAATTAAACGTCCTTTTGTATCATATAAAAATTCTTCATAATATGATCCGATTTTCCAACTTGATAATTTTTGATCATTATCTCTATATGTATAAATAATTGGTAGGAATCCGCGAGAATTTATTTGAATTAAACGGTATTTATCCGAATAAGTCATTGTTAATATTTCATTTTGTTTATAATCTTCAAGAGCAAATTTTCTTTCGAAATGATCGAATGATATTGTTAAAATCAAATTATTATTTATCTAAATAAATAATTAATTCATAAAATATTTGTATATATATAAATAAGAAAACAAATTACTTTCAAATGCCAAGAATTTATTTGTTCATTATTATAAATTAATGAATTCGAAAAATGATATGTAGAATTGAATTCAATTATTTGATGGCGATTTGTCATTGTTGAACTTGTAATTAATTTTAAAGATGGATTTAATTCTGACATTACTATTGAAGAATTTGATAGATCTTGACGGATTAATCGACGTTTATTATCTTAAAAGAAAGTAATTATAGAAAAAAAAGATTTTTATTGTTTTTGTTAATTTACTTTTTAATTGAATTCGTGTGGATTTATTTATTAAATATGTTCGATTACCATTTGGATTAAGAATGTCTATTCGATAGAATGAATTATTTGCAGATGGTATTAATTCATTAAAATAACCATCATCATGAATAATCTAATAAGAAATATTTTTGTTTAAAATTTTAATTTAAGAAAAAATTTTTACTTTTTGAATATGTCCAGCTTTATCATAAATAAAATGAAGTCTAATAAGATTATTTTTTATAATTGATATTAATAAACCATTATCATATTGAAATTGTGTCGATAAACCATTCATATCAACAATATTCGATAGAAATTTTTGTTTCGAAAAATCAATCTAAATTTAAATTCGAATTAAATAAGAAAAAACAAAATAAATAAATTTACTTTTAATTTATTTCCAATTGGCATTTGAATAATATCATTGATACGCATGGCATAATCATATTTAAGTAATAAACTTTTACCATTACGATAGTTTATCGATTCCAATTTACCATAAGCATTTTGTGGAGAATCATATGTAAAATTAAAAATTATTTCACCTATAAATAATAAAGAAAATACAGTATAATAGAAGAGAACAGAATCTGTTAATGAATGATTGACTATTTATGAGTTTATATAAATTTCGGCAGGGCCAGTGTTTCATCTAGCGGGTGGACGGCGCCCATCTGGAGTTTCCATTTCGCCCACCCAAAAAGCGAAACTTAAATTACGGACTGATAGGCGGTGCCCCCTCTCAGAATTTTCAGGGCGCCCACCTAAAAAGCGAGATTCAAATAAAGGGCTGGTAGGCGGCGCCCATCCGAACGAATGAATCGGGATAAAACATTGGCCAAGATACTGCTGGGTTTCTGCCAGTCAGCGAATATCCGTTGAACTCTCGCGAATACATCTCACGGACATTCGCCACTGCCAAAAGTCGAAAATCCTAGTATCTCGTAAAGTATATGAAAATCAATTGTTCTAACCTGTTAATGCATCAATAGTAGATCTATGTTGTCCTACACGATTGAAAACATATATTTCATTTTTATCCATTGATTGTATATTTAAACCATTTGTTTGTTCATCTTCATTAGTTAATGAAATTGATTTTAATTTAAAGATTTCTTTTGTAGCAGTATTTGCTAATATAATCGAACCATCTGGATAATTAATAATTGAAAAAAAGTTTAATTTTAAATTTTTCGAATTTAAATTTAAATTTTCTAGTTGATTATTTGATGAACGTAATACACGAATGAATGATTTGGATTTTTCTAATAGAAATAGATCTCCTTGATAATTAAATGAAAAATCAATTGGATTATTTAATTGAATAAAATTTTCTTGATTTAAACAATTCAATGATTGACCAAGAATAATTTCAATAAGATTTAAATTTATTCGTATACGATATAAATACATATCATCAAGAACATATAAATCACCATCAAGTGGATGAATATGTAATGTTGTTGGATTATAAAGTTTAAACTAAAAAACAAAAGAAGTAAATAAAACAAGATTTGGTTTTGTTTTTTGAAATTCAAACCTGATCGAGTGGATAAGTTCGATTACATGATAATTCTCTTTGATAATCAATTTGATATTCAAATGAACCAACAAGATTTGTAACACGACTATTATCAATACTTAATTTTCTTATACGTTGTCCATCAATAAAATAAATCGTTCCATAACGATCAATTGTTAAACCTTTTGGATATGATAATGAAACATCTTTTGCTAATTGTTCATCACCACATGTTATATTATGAATTAAATCTATTGTACAATATTGTCCATCACCAATAACAATTTCATAATTTTCTTTAAGATTTTCAATTGAATCAGTTTTTATCAAACGTATTATCTGTCGACGATAATAATCCGATATATACAAACGACCATCAACTGGATCCGTACTTAAATAATATTTATATGTATATTGTTCATTTAATTCAAGTACAGGTTTAACTAAACCAGTTGTTAATTGATACATCCAAATGATATTTAAATCACCAATATAAATTGTACCATCATTACTAACAGTTAAACTAGTTGGATTAAGTAATTTCGTTAATATTGCTTGATTTTCATGACATTGTTGACAATCAATTGAACGTGATTGATCACGAATACCCATTAATGTTGAAAATTGAAGAGGAGAATCTGTAAGTAACATATTTGTTCCATCACCTTTATGAAGAATACTTGTTTGTATGTTTAATTTATGATGAACATCAAATGTCCATCCACCAACATTTGCTGTTGGAATATCTTGTCCGGTCATTTTGACTGATTTTCTATACCAAACAATTTGAGTACAATTCATATATTCATATCCAATTGAAACTATTGCTTCAGCTAAACCATGTACATTCTGTTCATAAGCATTTCTTCTTGACCATTCATATTCATAGATTAAATTTGTTTGTGCAGAAAATTTCTTTCGAAAATAAATTCCTTCAATACTTATACTTAAATGTATTTCAATTAATTCATCATCAATTTCTTGATCAGTTAAAACAATTGTTAATATTGATTGATAACGTCGTGTACTTGATGAACTTAAATAAATAAATTTTATTGGTAAATCATATTTATCAATTGATATTGATTGTCGAATTATTTGTGAACCTAATGTATATGCATAATCATATTGATTATTATTTAGAAAAGTTCGATCAAGACTAGTATCCCATAATTTGGGTTGAATAGTATTCGACATATTTATATAACAATGATTATTATCAATAGTTTCATCGAGATAAATATAACCAATATGAAGAAATGTATTCCATGGTACAATAAATGCATATTGTTTAGTTTTGAAAGGTTGTCGAATAAATTGAATAAGTGTTGAACCTCCGCCATTGATTAATAAATTAAAACTAAAAAAGAAAATTTAAGATAGAGGAAAAAAGAAAATTTTCATTTACACTCCATCTTTATCTGATATTGTAAAACCTTGATTTGGATTATTAAATACTTGAACTTTAACACCATTGAGTGGAAGAGATTTTTTATAAAAAATTTGTCCACGAATAACTGATGCTCGTCTAGAAAAGAAAAAGATATATATGGAATTGAACTAGAATAGTTTTTTTGTGAAGAACATATTTTACAAGACAAAATTTAAAACAACAAAATCACCTCTTATCGAATGTCGATACTCTGAAAGTATTTATAAATCATAGAAAAACAGAAACAGAAATAAACTCGATTTAAATACCTTTCATTAAATGATGAGTAAATTGATGAAGTTTGAAGTCCATCTTCTTGAATTAAAAATTGCATACGTTCAAAAAATGAAGCTGATGGACTTGGTGCTTGACGTCGTAATAATCTACAGGAAAACATTTTTTTTGTTTAACTTAATTTATTCAAATTTTTTTTTTCATACATGTCTTTCGCATTTGTTCTTGAAATACATTCTTCTGTTGATTGACATAAACTTGATGAACAACAATCCGGATCAAGACAATCGATAAGACCATCTAAAGAAATATGGTTATCAACATATGTTGCTAATTTTTTTAATACATCTGGTTGATATCTCTAGTCTCTCTATGTTTTATAAGATAAGATAGATGAATTAATTCAATCTATATACAAGGCGAATGATTAAAATCTTCGAACTAATTTTGAAATTTTTTTATAGAAAAAAAAAATGAATTACGAACCATGATCATTATCCAATCGATCATTACAATTATTTTCAATTGTAAATTGACATTCCGATCCAAACCAATTTGTATGACAAATACATTTATTCATTTTACATTCACCATGTCCATTACAATTATTTGAACAAGCATCTAAAATCATGTCATTATAATAAGTAGGGTATTTTTTTTCCTTCTTCTTGAATTCAATGAACTAACCTATTTGACAATATCGACCACTAAATCCATTTTCACATAAACAAATTCCATTATCATCACAATTTTTACATAAATGTGAACATATTTTTTTCATACAATTTTCTCCTGTCCACCCGTTATCACATTGACATTGATCTTTATTATCATTTGTACATTTTCCATGAATACCGCAATCAATATTACATTTTACTATAAAACAAAAAAATATTAAAGATTTATTCTTATGAATATTAAATCTTACATTGAGAACAATTTTCTCCTGTCCAATTATTATCACATATACACATTGCTTTCGGATAATCAATATAACGTCCATGTCCTGAACATTGATTATCACATTGTAATTGTATTAATACTGAACAATCATCATCTGTATATCCATGAAAACAACGACATTTTCCTTCAATACATATTCCATGATTACTACAATTTGTATTTTGACATGATACTACATAAATAAAATGACTTTGAAGATTATCAAAACAATAGATTCGGTTTTTTTTACTTTGTTCACAAAATTTTCCTTGAAAACCATTTTGACAAATACATTTGCCAGCAACACAAGAACCTCGATTATTACAATTTGCTATTTCACATTGATTTAACATTAGCTGACATTCAGTTCCATGCCAGCCTTCTTGACAACGACATTGACCATGTTCAATAACACCATGTCCACTACATAAATCTGTACATTGTGCTACAAAAACAAGAAGAAGATCATCTTTAAACTCACAAAAAATATTCTTTTCTTTACCAATTGAACAATCCAATCCAGTATATGATGGATGACATATACAAACGCCTTGTTTACAAATACCATGATTATTACAATTATTTAAACATAGACGTTCATTTTTTTCATTAATTTGATCAATATATAATTGATAATCTTCTTTTGATAGACCATCATTTATTATTGTTATATACCAAAGTCCTGTTGTTAATAATTCATTGAATAACAAGGTTAATTGTTCATCATTTGAATTTGTTAAATAGTTTTGTGATGTATAATTTTGTAATGAACTTCGACGTACAAGATGATGTTGTTGAATATTACCATTGAATGGATGAAAAAAATCAAATTGTGTTAAACTTGGTGAACTTGATCGTTTACCATAAAAACCTAAGAAGAAGAAAATAATAATTTGATTTTAATAAACAACAAAAATTCTTTTCTCCTCTTACCAAATTTTGCTTCACGATTAGCTGTAAAATTAAATTGTATTGATATTGTTCGTTCAATATAAAACTGTAATTGTGCACTTGATTGTAAATCAATTGTTTCTTTTATTTTATCACCAATACGTATAAAACGTGTAGTTTTACCTGAAGAAATATATATATACAATTTAATTTACTTTTTTCAATTAATTTTTTACATACCATAAAATAAATTTTGTTGATGAGTTTTTGATTGTGTTAAATTAATCTCTCGAAATGTTGGATGATAATAACGCATGATTGACAAATAAATAGTTGATATTGAAAAACATAATGTTGTGAAAAGAAGAATAATGGCAATTATTTTCCATGAAAAGAATGTTCTTTCTTGATAATAATTTTCATCATTTTTACGTTTTTTAAATCGACATATGGAATTATTAAATAATGGACATGGTGAATGTGTTGATTGTCTTGTTGCTGATGTTGTTGTTGTTTGTTCATTATATGTTGTTGCTGAATCACAATTACAACGAATATGTGAATGGGAATGATGATGATGATGATCCAATGGATAAACATAACAATTATTTCGAAAGCTAGAAAAAAAAATACGAAATGAAATTATTCAATATCCTTGTCATGTCAATATATTATTTAAATTGTTAATCATATCAACGAGAAATAATATTATTAAGAAATTCAGGAAAAAGAATTTAGACATCTCTATTGTTCCTTAAATGATCACTCATCCGAATGTGGTTTACTTTTCAAGTTAATACATAATATAAAAGACTAATTCGATTTTTGTTGACAATTGCACCCTACTAGACACACACACACACACATCATCCCATTAATGCGAAGAGTAGTAGCTATTACGCAAGATTACTCTATTTGATATATTTATATATATATATATGTGAAGAAAAAAAAGAAAAAGAGGATCTAATTTGCATTGTGCAAACAAAAACTACTAGACGACGTATATATACGTACCAAGGCAATAATGGTGTATCAGGAAATATCTCATTCTTATTATCATTTGAATGAATAACATATTCACGATGACTAGAAAAAAAAAGATTGATATTAATACAGGCATACAAGTTGATTAGTCCTAAGGGAAGACATAACAATGATTATTAAAAGGTCTATACATGAACTTCTTTTTTTTTTGTTTCTTTCTTATATACGTAGACGCAGGTGAAAATATTTGTCTTTTATACATTAACCGCATTTTATCAATCAACGGGATACATAGTCAAGTGGCAAAACAGACCAAGCTAATGAACATAAGCCATATTCATGCCGGATGTACTACTAAAAGCTCACTTTCTTTCTTTTTTTTCTGTATATATCTCTAACTGTTTGATGATAATAAGCATAAATAACCTATATATAGTACTGTCTATATTTGTTCGAATAATGAACATCAAACATACTCAGTGGAAAAAAAACGGAAAGAAGTAACACTAACCTGTCGGCATCAATTGTCTGATAGACATTTGATGAATTTGAATTAGGTCGATCAATAGTTGACATTGTTGTTAGTTGGGTTGAATTTGGACATGAGTAGGCGGAAGATCGAAGCGGAAGTGTTCCATTATTAATATTATTACCATTTGAATCAATATTAGACGATGACATCAATGTTCCTATGAAAAAAATAATATATAGAAAATGACTGATCGAATGAAAAATATATGATGATATTGTGGCATTTAATGTATAATAATGGAGAAACTAGATAGACTAAACAAATTTCTCTGGTTTCATAATAACCTGCTCACCCTTAAGAATGAAAAATACCATTGAACTTATGTATATTTATATACACATATATGTATATGCACTCTATTATTATCTTCATCATCGTCATCATCATGCATCTCAATATAGTTGAATGTATCGTGTGACAGTAGATAAATGAGATGCAATACTATTTAGCAAGCTTTCATAATCTCGTAATGCAAATTCCCATACTTCTTTACACGTGTACATATGAGTTCATCATTAACATCATCAAACAGTGATGGTATGATGACAAAATGAAGGTCATTGATTAGAATGACTATTCGATATCTATACGTTATAACTGACCTGAAATCAATATATGTGTCTTGCATGAACTAGGATGCCGGATGGAAACTGAAGGGCGATAAGTCTTTTTTCTTCTTTCACATTCATCATCATCTTCCTTTCTTTCTTTCTTTTTTTTTTCTTCTTCTTCTTCTTCTTCTCTTTTCTCTGGTGTGTTCATCAGACTGTAGGCAAATTCAATCGACACTATACATATACATAGTAAAGCATCTATACACACGCGCAACTATCTGATAAGGCTCACAACTAATCGATCTCTGCTGGAATGATATCTTTGTGAATGTGTGTGCATGATTTTCTTTTTCTTGCTTCGTCATCATCGGTTGATTGCAGAAGCAACTCGAGCGCCGTGTCGAAGACAATTAGAACAAGAGTTTGTCACCGCCGCTGGATAGGAGAACACCAAAATCGAACCCGATGTGTTCGATCATAAGAGAGGGAGAGAGAGAGAGAAAAAAGAGTAAAACTCAGGGTCACACACGACATCCGCCAATAATCAGAACTCGACAATTGTAAGAATGTTCGCGAGCGCGCAATCAAACGATCGTTTAAATAGAGAGGTCAGCGAATGCACAATCAAGTCCTAATAGACCTTACTTCCTCTCTCTTATTCTTTCATATGCATACATCCGTATTCAAAACTAGTAATACATATTATGGTTAAAACAATAGAAAAAAATAGATCTATCCTAATCATTCTACTATACCTTGTGAATGTGGTATCAAGAGAGCATTGCCTGTTTGTGTTTGAATCATAAAAGCGGTACATGGTGTTGATGATGAAGGTACTGATGAACTAGCTCCATGTGAACCTGATGAATCAAAACCACTATCAGCCATATAGGAATTGGTTGTTGTTGAAATATTATCACCACATAAAAGAATTGAATTACGTGTTGCTGATTTTATTTGATGTAATAATGTTGTATGGTCAACAGGAATCATAGGAGGATGAGAAGATGGAAGTGGTGGTAGTGGTGGTGGCATTTGTGATGGTGGTGTGAGAAGCGGTGATAAAGCAGTTGAATCCATTACTGAGTGATCTCCTAGAAAAAATCAAAAAAAACATTGATTTATGAGTTTATTTATATAATTTGTTTAGTTGTATAAAAATAAAAAAAGTCTCTTTTCACAAGATAACGTTAGTCAATTGTCCTTCTTGCAGTTCGATGATCAAACGATGACTGGACACACTCTTAACCTTTTTTCTATTTCAACGTGTCCACGTCAATAGACACTTCATACAAATAGCCAGAAGCATTTTATTCAATTTTAAAAGAGAGAAAAAAAAACTACCAATATTTGATTAATCATTCATCGAAATAAACTTACATCGTATGAAGAAATCTAATGTTGCGTGTATTAAACTCGACATTGTTCTGATTGCTTACTAGTACCACTTGCATGTCATTTGGTGTTCATTATGATTTCTTTCTATTTTCTCTTTACGTTTATCGAAGGAAGAAAATGAGGAAAGGCGAGAAATATAAACTCCTCTATATAATGTGTAAATGCAGAGTAAAAAGGTGTCGACCACTAGTACTTTCTTTTTGATCGTTTCCTTGTCTTCTTTCTCTGTCTCGACTCATTCTTTGTAACACTTTTTTTTCTCTCTCCCTCTTCTCGCTCTCTCTCTTGTTCTGCTACTTCTTGCTCGTTACGCTTAGACGACAATCGTTTTAACTACAACATACGTTAAGTGATGACAGAAGAGAAAAAAAAAGAAGAATAAGTCACTTCAGACTTCTTCTTCTTCTTCTCTTGCCTCTGCCAATAAGATCTATATCTATTTTAAGTTTCACTTAAAATAAAACGAGAACAACTAGGGCGTGATAACACTCTTGTCTTCTATTGCTTAAAATTGTCTATTCTTGATACAGTCTATGTATATGTCTATGTGTCCTTTTTGATTAAATTCGATGACAAGTTGAACGAGAAAGATGCAATTAATTTGAAACGATCATCAATAATGTGTGTGTGTGTATGAATGTATGTGCAACAGTTTGTCGCCTATTGCACGTCGTCATCATCTTCTTGACCTGCATTTGTACGGGTTAGTTATTGTGACTGAACGAGTGAAAGGACAATACACAATACAATTGAATATAACAAGTGCTCCAAGAAGTGTTTATATATGTATATGAACATAGTTATAGTAAAAAAATGTAACAGTAACAGAAAATAAAACAAACATCATATATGATCATTGTCGTTATCGTCTCTTATGAACTATTTTAATTATAATCTTAAGGTAGACGAACAGAAGTGGTAGAGAGAAAGACAAAGACGACTACCAAGTGATTTTTAATGTTATTTATTCATGACAAGACTGATATGTAGTTACACTTAGTGTTTTTATCATTACTAGACAATCGATAATACACTAGTACATGAATAGATGGACGACAGTTAGATAGGATCATCAATCGGCACATTCGTTTGTTCACTAGAGATTAATAAATTTATTGTATATTGCGTGTTTCATTCGTTTACATTATGTACTAGATCGACTGGCGCGATCTAAAATATTCAATTTCTCGTCGTTGTCATCACCTCAACGAGTAAAAAATTGACATGCCATGCAATGTTACGTGACAATATAGACAAACTTTGTTGTATGAATAATGCAAAAAAGAAAAGAAAAGAAAAGAAGAAAAGAGAGAAGAATGTCGTCACTGTTCCGTGATCGTCAGACAATTAGATCGATTGGAATATAGGAAATAAGATTTTTAGAAAATCATAGTTTTCTTCTTCTTTTCTTGCTTGAATAAATCGATTGCTTGAGGATAACCTAGTGATAATCATTGTTATTAATAATTGCCATTCAAACAAAACACATATATACATATATATGTATATATATATATTCCCTCCTGCTATGCTTTGCATGGTGTCTTTATAAAGTATGAGTTAATTCAATTAGAAATGCCGTAAGGAAGAAGACTGATCAAGGAATGTTATTTCAATGTATAACGGAAAAAGAAAACATACTAAATGTAAAAATGAATTGTTTTTCTTCCTTATTAAACTGACCTGATTCATCATCATTGCTTGTTGATGTTGGTTGTGATATATTCGAATCATTGGAAAACGTATTTGAATGTTCACTATGATGTTCAGAAATCGGTTTCATATTTGTAATGGAAGGTGTATATCGATCAATCGGACAAAACATTGTCGCATTTGTTGTCATATTAGAATTATTGCTACCATTTATTTTATGTTGAAGATATGAATGATGGGTACATGAACATAAAATTATGTCTTTAGCAGTTTGATGTTGTCGTTTATGACATGATGATCTGTGAAATAAATTTGTCGAGGGTGGCGGTGGTATTAAAGATGGACAATAAGATGAAGATGGTTGACGAACACCTGTGCAACAAAAAAGAAAAGAAAATGAAAAGAGAGAGAGAAAAAATTAGCCTGTATCGATGATACACACACGCACACCACAAAACATAAATAATCGTTAGTTGAGACCATTAATGAACCACACATACATATACACACGCACTTAGACACTTTGGTCCTTCTGTTCGCGTGCCGCTCGGCAGGGAAACAACAGACTATTCTTTTCATCTTGATAGGTAAACAAGACTCACTCACCAGATTCTCCTCCTATGTTCTGGTGACCTTATCTTATCTGTACTTTTTTTGGAAAAAAAAAAAAAGAAAAATTGCTCCTTATATCATCGAAAGATCTGTATCAAGATACTTTTATAAACTAATGCTCGTAATTTGTTTGAGATATCTACAAACACACACAAATATATGTATATATACACAATATTATCCGCTTTATGTAACCCTTTCGATTGATCTTTTCGATTGTGAGTAAAAATCTATTGTGCATCATGGATTGATGAACATCTGTGTTTCGATATACACTCTCAGGACTTACATCATGTATGACAAAGAAAAAAAGAAAGAAAAGAAATGTCTTGCGTGTATATATATATAAACGTATTTGAATTGATCATGCAAAAGAAAACTATACGATTGTATTTCATTCAAAATATATCCGAGAATGACGACTTAATCATGCATGCCCATCATGGTCATTCTCAATTGGTATGCTATTACATAAGACCAGAACAGCAGAAACGTTCTATCTTGCTGTTTTAGAAAAGACAATTGGTTAGAACAAATACACCAGAGAGAAAAAAAGAAAAGGGAAGGGCCTAGAAATAAAGTACAAGGACACAAATGTCGCAAGAGGCTCAAAATCGAATTGTTATTGATGAAGCGATATTAAAAGATACGACAAGAAATAAGGGAAAACGTAAAATGATCACTAGAGGCAAGGACACCATGTACTAAATTCATCAAGATTATTATGTCCAACCGCTGTCAATATGAACATGAATATGTCACTTCGAAAAACTATCGATAAGTGATCGAACAAATATAATGAAAATGATTTCATTTAATCCTATATATATATATATATATAAATGAGCGATTTGTCATGATATTCAAGGATATAGTAAGTAGCTTTTTTTGATAGTTATCATCACGAAAAAAAAACGAATTGATGATATGTATATATATATATAGATATCTATATAAATACATATCATGATCAATCTTCATGAACTGAACAAAAACATATTGTTGTATGAAAATGTCAGGTCATGATCATTTATATTTTAATGTTTGCTTTTTTTCATCTTATAAAATTTTACCTTGTGATGATGTTTGTTTTTTTGTATTGAACATTGAAGAGGAGGAGTTATTGTATGAATCTGAATAATAACCACTTTCAACTTGCCATCCATGAGTTGATGATGATGGAGGACAATGAATATTAACTATTGATGTTCGTGTTGTCATAATCTAAAGTCAAATGAAAAGAATATGAAAAAAAAAAAGAAAGAATCAAACGAACAATATTTTTCTCTTTCTCACTAAGATCAAATTTCTCTTCTCTCATTCTCTTATTCTCTTATACTCTATCGTTCAGATATATATATATATATATACATATATGCATCATCTGTGATTAAAGAAAGAAAAGATGAATATCAACATATTTACTTCTCGACTTTGCTCACGTAATGTAATGAAAAATAAAAATAGAAAATGAAGAAGAAGAAGAAGAAGTAATTAGACAGATTCTGTTTCTCTCTTACAATCTAAACAGACAGGTATCGATATCGATGATAATGTTGCATCAGAAAAGAGACGTCTTTCATGCTACATATCATCATCAGACTATGAGGACTAGTCGCGTCTTATTACTTAATAATGACAGCTCAACTCAATCAATCTACATCATCAATATTGACTTTCTGGATCGGATCAGATAGCACATATTGCTCAAAGATTATTTGTGATTCAGTTTCTAATTATAGTCATTCATAGACAATTAATGATTGAAATAATAAAAGCTATATTTTTCTATTATCTATGATTATAATTTACATAATTTATTGGTTAAAATTGATTTGAAAAATGATTAAAAGAAAACACATAAGTCTATACACGAAAGTTATCATCCATCAACAAGGTCTTTAAAATTATATTATGCAGAAATGATCCACTTACTCAATGACTATATATATATATATATGCGTGTGATCTTGTTGACATTTGACTGAGCACATACACATGGCCGATCTGATTATGATATAGTAATAAAATCGGTGCCAATGTCATATACTTTGGAATACTCAACGCTTCTTATTTCTTTTTGAATAATTGACATCTGAACGTTAAATGTGTATCATCTCACATTATTTACATAGTGAAGGGCAATGGTTGAGCACTTCTCATATTCAATGTTTTTGTTCAATCGATAAAAACGACAAATAAATCTAATCTCGCACCATGCTGCACATTTTTTTCTCTCTCCTTTCGTATATACATATATACTTCTCTAATGATTTCGATTGAATGCAGCAAACATTAGGATATCACAAACCATCATTTGATTCATATCATCGAATGAATATGGTGAATAAATTAGAGCAAGCTGCGTCCGTATATGTGCCAAACATAATAACTGTCAATCAATGTATGCATATACAAAAGTGAAACATGTGCTGAACACCACAGGTGATTTCTATTCAGATGAGACAAAGAAAAACCAAGTGCTTTTCTACTTCTCTCTCAATTAGTGACCTAAGCTAATAGAACAACAAAAACATACAGACATTCTATATATATGTATATCTATATATATGTCGAGTAACGGTAAAATAAATCACTTAATTGTGAATTGAGTTGACTTTACTTTGAGCATTTCTATGCTTATCAGCACGCTTCATTTCGTCATGATTTCTTTCTTTTTGTGTGACTTCATAAGATAGAAGAAAAAAAAGAAGGGATGATGATTGTTTGAAACCTTATTCTTTGACTGGTATATATAAATGAAAATAAGATGCAATTCGAAATGAATATGAAACCTTACTATCAGACGACAAAATAGGTATTCGTATAGAGAGAGTCATTTCTTTCTTTCTTAAGGTGAGGTCAATGAATTAAAAGAAAAACAACAAATGAATAGATATCTTATCGATTTTTTTGAGACGCAATACTTACGACGACAAGTGTTCACACACACTTCACCTTAGAATATCTTTAAATAGACAAGAGAAGAAAATAAAATAAAAATTGATCTAACTTTTGCCTTAAGCGCATTTACTATTCTCATTTGATTCGGAGTCAATTATCAAAAAAGAAAAAAAAAACGAGCAAAATCTGAGTACTCATTGATATAGATATGTGAAAAAAGAAACCAGCCTTTGATCATTAACATATGTTCATTTCTCATATTTACTAGTTTGATTTAAGTACACCTGCCCAATTTTCACGGACGAGTACAGAAGAAAGAAGAAGTACAATATTAAAGATATATCTCTTCTCTTGAGTGCAACAAGAAAAAAA